GTCATAAAGCACTCTGAACTCGATGATAAGTTAACTGTCAGAATGTTACAATGGCATTTTAGGGTTCACAATTGAGCAAAACATTTGTCGCCTGGCCTTTCTACCAGTGACGGTTGTTCTACTCACTACTTGTGTAAAAGTAGAGATTCAACTGAAATTTTCTTCTCATTTAGTCAGGACCACAGGCTAGACCGCGCCAAACCAGCATTCCTACGTGGACGACAAACAAGCATAGGCCTTCTCAACCTTTCCGCATCGTAGTTGTCGTCTGATAAGGGCTTGTTTTAACTTGCATCTGAATTTAACGGCGCTACGGCGGTGGAGCGGGCAACAAGACTGGGGCGCCCACTTCCAACTTAAATAGTGTCATAGATCTTTAGTTGCTGACACTGAAACAGGCTGCCAGGTAGTGGCGAATCTTTATTCATTTAATATGACAACATAAAATAAAAAGTGATCGTTTTTGCTTTTCTGTTCACTTCTATGTTTTTCAAGTAGTTGACTGAAGGACAAATTCCTAAGCAGTCAATTTAGACTTATTAAGCTTAAAATCGTGTATTTGCTGGTGGGATAGGGGAGGATTCACTGAATGTGATCATTTCTATTGCAAAAATTTCTATCACTATTAGCCGTACAAATTTGGCATTCCTTCAAGCATGTGCGAAAACCTTATCCTATCGTTCGGAATAGCCCTGCTTTGGTCGTCCTTTTGCGACACTTCTGCTCGGAGTTGGCATTGTAGTCAAAGCAATATTAATTTGTCCTTTAACTCATGGCCCAACTACTGGGCTATTCTTTCGACAACTTCTGTCTTCAATTCAGATATGAAAATTCAGGCCGGCCGGTCATCTGCTCAATCCGCCGATTTGTGCGTGTAGAGAGGGCTTGTGCCCCTGGAAACGGAATTGAGTGACTTTCAGCTTAGTAAGTAGTCTCCAACAACACTGCAAAATTAGGTAAACTAAGGCGATTCCCGCAAAAAGTTGTTCTACCCACTCATTATACAACAAAATGATGTAGCTTCTAGGCCGACATTTATGCACACATGCGAAAAGAACAGTGGACAGGTGGGGCAACAAAGAACTAGTCACGGAGGCTGACAGAGAAGACCATGTTAACGTTCCGGCTTATGCAAGAGCATGCAGATACGGGAGATTAGCAACATATACAAGTAGATGGACATGAAGAAAAACTGTGTTTCGAAGAGTTCGTCAATGAAATTTTCTGGCATGACTCTCCAGTTCGAAGGGAAAGTTGTTTGGAAGGAATTCGTGATGTAATCTTACCGGAACCCGAAGGAAGATTGCCGCGTAGGAAAGACTGTTGAATTGTGCGAAGAAGTCCTCGTCTCACCCTCCTGCGACCCCGATGAAGTTGTGCCAAGCTTTTGTCTGTACCGCCGTGACAGACATAATCAGAGCAAGATTCCATACTTTACGAAATAGAGCAAAAATATACAAACTCAAGAGAAGAAGGTGGTCGGCTGCAACCCTAGTCGCTTTTTTTGTATACCTAACTTCGCGATCTTAATGCGGCAATCATCCTTCGGTTTTCGGTGAGACCATATCACGAATTCCTTTCTACCAACTTTCCCTTCGAAATGGAGAGTCATGTCACAAGTATATGGACAAACACGTAAACAAACACACAAACAAACAAGCGGAAAGACATACATAAAGACATAAGAAGAGTCAAAAGTAAGGTAATTTTAGCGAAAATTGTCTGTGATTATCAAACTGCTCACCCGCAGAGCTTGTCTGATATTCACGGAGTCCCGTGTTTGCAGCTGGTAGGCGTAGTGTTCTCGCAGATCGACTCTCACCACACCCGGAGGCAGACTACCAGGATTGACGCGAGCCAACGTCTGCGGGACTCGAGTCCACTGATCCAGCTCCAGGAAGATGTGGTCGATCTGGTGAGGTCTTTCACGAAGACAGGCGGAGTCGCCAGGCACACAAGCATTGGCAGGATTCAGGCGACAACTGGCGAATGGAGATTTTGGGCCATTGGAAAGAAAGAAGATCGTGAATGAGTACACCTATTGACGACTATTTAGTGGGGGGGGGGAGGTCAACAAGACGTAGCAACTAGTCATTTCGCTACTGGTATAATGAATACGCAGTTATCAGTACCAATTTTTCTCACAATAAACTGAAATTAAGCTTTATTTATTTAAACCCGTTCCTCAGTAGTACCCAGAATACGGATCAGGCCTTTCTCGATCCAGCCGTTGGTCTCTGAACCCTCAATGCTTACAGTCCGGATCCAACTATGGAAGAGGATGAGATAATGAGGAGTAATTAGTGGTAAGGCTGTATCAATTGATTGCTTTAAATGTGATGATATATTATGATTAATAGCATCAGGCTAAATCACGTTATATTTTGGAGCCCAAGAGTTTCCGCCGAGAAGGTATCCAGATACTTTTTATACCAAATCTTCAAATTTCCCGATAGCGGAAGCACCCATACACACTTTCAATGTGTACACAGCGCTTGAACTCAGTCATGCAAAGGCCCATTTCTGATCCCAAAATTCCTGATAACTGATAGCCAGTGGGCCCAGTCTTTCGAGAGGGCGCTGTGTAAATGGACGGGACTCTAACTTGTTGTTGTAGTGTCTCTGTAGCCTTCTATGCTTCTGGCGGCTGAACGCTTGAAGTAACCATCAGTTTCCTCCAACTCGGAGGCTGTTGGCTGGTATGTTTGTGTGTGTGCGTCATTTACTTATATAGCAGGATCACTGCGATTATGATGAGAGTTCTCCAACTTCACTTGAACATGACAGCATGCGAGCTTTTCTGGTCGCATTACTACAGAAGCAAAGGTTATGCCTAAATTTGGCCCAGCAAAGCCAAGGAAGTCCGGCCGAAAGCGCATATTTGCCCAATTTAAGTGGCACCAATTTCGGATATTGGTTTAATCTGTCTCTCAATGATGATGGCCCACGAGCTAAATCACATCATAAAAACGAATATAAGTTTTGTTTACAATTTATGATGGGGGCATGAATCAGCATCTCAAGGACTCAGCATTTCGCCTAAAAATACGATTTATAGCCCCACACAGTCGCAACTGAGTGTTTATAAAATTCCTAAGTTCCGACCAGCTCCTCTCGGTGAAGGGCCCACCAAACTTCATAGAAGATGGCAATACTGAACTGCATGGTTTATAGAAATGGGTTGACCTCGTCGCAACTTAGTCTTGTTGCCAGGGGGACTGAGTAGAACGCATCTAGTCCAGAGTCGTCTGCCAAAGTATTTGTCATGATTCATAGCATCAGACAGTGAACTTGGTACATTCTCAAACGTTTCATCGGCATCGTAGTCGGCATCATCAGTAAGTTCTGCCATTCTCCGCCCCACGCTACCAACTCGTCAAAGAGACCAGTTAAGTCAATCCCCCGACAAACGTTCTGTCGAAAACGGTTACACTATCACTACTCTTTCTGTCCTTGCCTATCTATCTACTCTTTACCCTCTTATCCCATTGTCGCCCTATCACAACTACTCACTTGTTTACATTCCACTCGTCAAAATGTGTGCCCTTTTGTGGAAATTCTAGTGTGGCCCGATCACACTTGCTATCTACCCCGACCCTTCTCTTTCTATCGACTTATCCGACTCGGGCCTCCAATCCAGATCCCTTCATTGTCTCGTGGATCCGTTCCTTATCTTTCTGGTTGACCGATTTCACTCAGTTCCAATTCCAGTGTGCATTTCACTCCAGGCGCGAATTCTCAAGGTCCTAGAAGCACGTACACTGCCGTCTTCCTTAGCAGAGCACCTTAGCTCTGATTGCCATGCTTGCAGAGTGCATTTTGGGCATACCGCCGAATTTCCGTGACGGTTTGCTTATCCGTCTGCCCAGCTCCCTGACTGCCAGGCCCCCAAAGTTGTA